AGGCCCAGAGGGGTAAAACAACTTATGGGGGTCCCACAGCTGGTAAGTGGTCTTCCTGGCATTTGAACTTCCGTATCCTATCAGTTGCCACGTCCTGCATATGCGTTCTCCTGTTTTTCAAAATCTGTTGCCATCTTTTCTATCCTACCATCTTTGTTAAATTGGGGTCCTCGTCATCTATTTTCCAGATTGTTGCAGCTTGTAACAGAGATGCCCTTCCCTCTCTCGTTGGCCCCTGCCTACCTCTTCAAATGTATCTCCTCCAACTCTGCTTACCTGTGTCCTCCACTTGTCCCGAGTGTCTTCAGTTCCCAGAATATAATGTGTTGTTTCAAGTTTGCATGGTTTGCCACTTTTTCCAATATTTCTACTTGGCAAACACCTGATCAATCTTCAAGACCCAGTTCATGTGTCTTCTCTTCAAAGGCTTCTCAGCCATCCCAAGCACAGTTGACCAATTCCTTCTTTACATTTTATAAGTCTTTGTGTATTTAAATATTTCTGTACCTGTTTGTCTTCCCAAATCAACATGATCTCCATGATGACGATGTCAATTGATGATAATAGTAATACGGGAAGCTCCGATTTATTAGATGCTTACCATGTTACCAGACACTCCCCTAGGCACTTTATAATCTTCCTCTCTACTCTTTACAACTGCTTTGCATGGTATATACTATGATCCCCATTTTACAGATGCAAAACTAAGACTTACTGGTCTCTGTATAACTACACTTGGTACACTTCTGGGAAGAGGAATTCAATAATTGTTGAATTCAAAATATAAACAAATGACTTCATAATCCTCAATTATTTATCTTTGGAAAAATATTGCACTTAAATACATATAACTCCAACACAGACAGATCTTCAGATTTATATAGAAATGTACTATAGCTATAATCTGTTCATAAATTTTTTTCATTGTGTCCTATTTAACTCTATCCAAACACATTTCATATATTTTTCAGCTTTATCTTTTCTTATACTTTCTGATTTTTAAAAATCAAATTAATTTATTTCCAGTCATAATGGAGAAGTAAGAGCACATGGAATCTCTTTTCCAGCCCAGATACATCAAAATGATATCTTATATATTTTTACATTTAAAAATACAGTCACAATTAAAAATAAAGTTTCTGTGGAACAGGAACAGAGTTATCTGTAGTAATGAGTAAGAACTGAGGCTACAAACTTACAAATGAATCAGGGATCCAAACCCAAGAAAGATAGACAACAAACCAAATAAATAAGAAAGTTATACTCAAAGAAATAGATATACAGCAACCCTCAAGGGACTTTTAATTATATTTAAAATCTTGAAAGAGATAAAGGATGGGGGTTATAATCAAGAGCAAAGAACTGTGAAAAACTACCAATTAAAAAAATTCTGGAAAATATAAAGGTAGTCATTGACATAAGAAGTAAAATAGTTTACTGGATTCAGTTAAAAAATCAGTGATTAAAAGTGAGGACATCATTCAAAATACAGCACAGAGAGATGAAGTGACAGGAAATTAAAAGTAAAATAAAGAGACCTGATGCACAAACTGTAAGGCTCTGACATAAGTCTGCTGAATAAAAAGGTCTATCAAAGGTAAATAAAAATGTATATCAAGGCATATCAAGCAGGACAACTTTTTTAAAAACTTCCACTCTTAAATACCTTGTAGAAGCATAATTGCAGAACGTCAAAAAAGAAAATTCTTAAAAACCACTGTAGAAAAACTAAGAATGACAATCGGACTGATACAAAACTTCTAATCAGCGGAAACATGCAAGAATAAATGGAGCTCCGTCTCCAGAGTGCCAAGGAAAAGCAATACTCAATCTAGCATTCTATACCCAACTAAAACAACATTTAGCTCACTTGAAGTTTGTATCATGTGAAAGTATTCCTCATTCCCAAAAGTAAGTATAATAAAAAATTTTTAAGAGAAAATGAAATAGATATTTTCAGGCAAAGACTAGTTTATTATCCAAAGACCTTCCCTGACAAAATTTAAAAAAGAAGAAAAAATCAACAACAACAATAAAAAAAAGAAGAAAAATCCCAAGTAATAAATCCACAAGTAAGGTGAGGAATACAATTATTGGCTATAAAATAGAAATAGGTATTGGCAGCAAAAATAGAAGTAATAATTATTTTTTCTTATTTAGAGACAAGATGGAACCTAAAATTCTAGATAATAATGTGAAAAATAACAATGGGGGGGGCTAGGAGGGAAAATAAACATAGCTAATTCTTTGTTTTCTTTGAAAGTTATATTTTGCCCTTGTGTTCAAATGTTTAATGTAACCATTAAAAGAATAAAACCAGAATGTTCACAAACTGGTACAAAGCAGGAGGGGAAAAGAGAGCTGAAGGCAGGAAAGGAGAAAAAGGAAATAGAAGAAAAAGTATGAAAACAGAAACTCAGAGTAAAATAGCAGAGATACTCCAAATACATCAGCAATCACAATAATGTAGATGGGTGAAATTCACATCATAAAGAAACTCCTAGATCGACTGGAATAAGAAAAATAGGATATCTGCGTATGACACAGTTGAGTGGAAACTTTCCATTTCCTCTGAGCTAAGGGTGTATGTGTGTGTGTCTGTGCTGTATGTGTGTGTTGTGGGGGGAGAGAGGACACTAATTCAGTCTATGGGCTCTTTGTAAAAGATTTTGGTGGCACTTCAAAGTTCTGTGGGCCCAGTAGCACAATTTTAACTTTTGCCTATATTCTTTTACAAGGTGTAATTCAGTTAATTACCTGTTTTCATTGAAAGTTCATCTGAAAAGTGCAGAATACCAAACGTGAAGCAGATCAAAGTGAATTTTCAAAAAGGTGATGTCTATGGGAATGATTAAGAGACACCCCCAAATATCAGTTGGTTTATTCACCATATTAGAAATAGGTCAACATTACCACGTTATTCTAAATACAGCCATTAAAATTCCAAGGAGGGAAAATTTCACATATTACCGTTATTCATTGGATAATTTTAGCCAGACGATCATTCTTTCCTGGAGCCTGTATAAATCAATTGTAACAAACTGCAATTATCACCCTTGCAACTGACGGCTTTGTGGCAGATTTAAATTCCATTTTGCAAGTCTGCCAAAAACTCTCCTTTGCCTCCTAAGCTCAAAAGCCAGAAAGCAGCTGAAAGATGGTCACTGCTTTGTTCTTGAATGGAGCTAATTACAGAGATGTCTGCAGCGGGATGGGCGCTCTGCAGTCGGTGTGTAAATAGGGACCATTAGAGCTCATTTCAAGCAGACATCACTTCTAAAAAAAGAAACAGAACTTCAGATTTTAATTACTCTCATAGGAATTGTTACATTACACAGAACCTGACCATTTTTTCCCCTCACAATTTAGTTCAACTATCATGACAATTCTCTGTCATAAGAATGCTCTAATTTTAACATTTCTACAGATGGGTTGGTAAGAATGTGAGGTTTATTCCTCCCTTCTTTCCTCACTAGATTTATTTTAATCCTACATCACAGTCAGTTTAAAATAATTTGCATAGTATTGAAATATGTATTTCGTTCCTACACCTTTTCAGAGTAGTTATTTTTTAGTTTTTAAAATTCAACTAATCGACCATTTATTAAATCCTATATATGTTTTCCAAGCATTGCACTCAATGCTTTGGAAACATTTTCTGGCTTAATCCTCAATCTACCTTATAAGTGTTATTCTCATTTTATTTTTTAAAAAGATTTTATTTATTTATTTGAGAGAGAGAGAATTGAGCACAAGCGGGGGCAAGGGGGGCACAGGGAGAAGCAGATGCCCCTCTGAACAGGGAGCCGGACATGGGGCTCGATCCCAGGACCCTGGGATCATGACCTGAGCCAAAGGCAGATGTTTAACTGACTAAGCTACCTAGGCGCCCTATATTCTCATTTTATAATTGAGGAAATTGAGGTGTGGTACGTGAACAAGTTCACACAGCTGGTAATTGGTTGAGCTGTGATTTAAATCTAGCTTCCAGGGCCCTTTCCTGCCAGCAAAATTTAGAAAGCAGTACCAAACAGCGTCTGCCCCTAGGGAACTTGGCTAGGAAGACTTAAGATAGTATCAGGTAGTTTAGGAACTGCTGTAGGAATTTTGGCCCTGTGTGTGTGTGTGTGTGTGTGTCCTTCTTTGTGTGTGTGTGTGTGTGCATCCTTGTGTGTGTGTGTGTCCTTCTGTGTGCGTGTCCTTCTGGAGTATGAGAGATTATGGGGGCCAGGACTGGGGGGGACGGTGTTGACAGATGAGGTAGACTGTGCTCTTGGCAGTTTTTAGGTTGTGGTCCAAGATCAAACGATTGACCTTTCTTTAAGAACTGTTAAGCTTATAGAGAGGACTGCTTTGAGATGCTCTTTCTTTTTCTCATTTACTTGTATTCTGTGTCTGTGTTCTAAGCCCGACAATGTGCATTATCTCACTGATTTTCTTCTCTCTATCCTAAGAGTATTTATTATCCACATTACACAAGTTAGTGAATCTTTTTTTTAGTGATTCATTATATATTGTTTTAGACTCTGTTTTATTTTATTCGCAGTGACCCAACTCTGCTCAGATGGAAAAGCACCTGTCCTCCTTGAATGATTCATTTGGTGGGAACAACAAAACCATGTGCCAAAAAAAAAAAAAAAAACCCCAAAAACAAAAACAAAACAACAACAACAACAAAAACATCATGTGCCAGAATGTTCTCTAACCCACAAAATCCCTCTATCAAAAAGAAAAATTTTATCATTTTATTATTGTTCATTGAAAATTAATCAGTGTTTCTTTTTCCTTTTTTATAGCCAGACTCTGTTTAGCCTCACCTCAAATTCTGTGTAGCATGTCGGCTTGAGATTTTAAAATAAAATGGGATACAAGGAGGGGTGGGGAGGTGATAAAGAAAAAAATAGAGGCAGGGGTTATATTTACAGTTTAATTGTGATCTCAGTCTCTCTCTCTCTCTCTTTTTCTATCTATGTCTTTTTCTGGAAGGACAGTATTGCAGGTCAAGTTCCCCAGGGAAATCGACCCTGAGGTGGAGATTTGATTGCATCATGTTTACTGGGCGGTGCTCTCGGGTCAGCACCTGTAAGGGAAGGAAGCACAATTGGGCAGAAGTAGTAGTTGGACTGTGATGATGTCACAACTGACATCCCAGCTGATCCCACAGGGAGCTCTAGAGCCTGGATGGTCCTTCAGAAAGGTCCCAAATTAAGGGAAGAGGGATGAGCCCTTCTGCGCATGTGTCAGTCAGTCACTGACTGCAGGCTGCCCCCATAGCTGAAGTGGATCTACGCAAACAAAGGCAGTTGGGAAATTGGGGAACTTCAAAACTCAACTGGGAGTCAGATGGTGAACCTGCCAGCACTCTGGGCAGCTGGTAGAGTGAGTGCTCCAGTCCCAAAAGGCAGGGGTGAATCTGGGTGGCATTTACCACAGCATCCACGGAGATTTTTTGGGATTTTCTTAATTATGAAATACTTCAGATATACAAATGGAGAATAATATAACAAACACCTGCATGCCCATAATCCGGTTTAAAAAAAAGAGAACATTACAAATTCAGCTGAATTATACCCAGTGTACTTTTACCCAATCCCATTTCCTTTCCTCCATCAAGAAGTAATCACCATTCTAAGCTTGACGTTTCTCTTTTTCAAGTAAGGTGACCAATTGTCTTGATTTGCCTGGAACCGGGGGCCTGTGGGTAGGGGAGTGTCCCAAAATATGCAACTTTCAGTAATAAAACAGTAAAAGTTGCAGGCAAACCAGGATGGTTGGTCACCCTATCAGACCTATTTTATACTTTTTCTACATATGTATCAATTCACAAATCATGTATTATATTCCATGTTTAAACTTTATGTAAATGGGATCATGTTGCCTTATCACTCTACAACTTGTTTTTTAAACGCTAAATATAATATTTGTGAGATTGAGTCATGCGAATAATTATAGCTCAAGTTCATTCATTTTCACAGCTCCAGAAGATTCCGCTGCTTGGATACACCACAATTTATTTCTCCACTCTGCTGTTGATGGGACATTTTCGTTGCTTCTGGCTGTTCACTTCAAACCATGTTGCAAGTGGCATTATTGTATGTATCTCCATGCGCATGTCTGAGTTTTTCCACGTAGGGGTAGAACTGCTAGCCTGTCTTGCAAGCATACCTTCACCTTACTAGTTAACCAGAAAATTGCTCTCCAAAGTGATTGTACTAATCTTCCTCCCCACTAGCCAAGTTTGAGGGGTGCTAATGCTGCCAGTCTTTACCAAAGTTTGCTATTATCCTATTTTGAAAATATTGAAATCAAAGAGATCTAAGATTCTTGTTTTCTTTTTTAAAAATCTGCATTGTTCCCTACTGATTTTTAGGTATGTTAAAATGTAAATATTCACCAGATTTTTATTCTGTAGGACAATGATTTTGTTCTCACTTTGTACTTGAGGACATACTCCAGGTCCAATCAAGTTTTGAATACCCAGAAACCATCACAATGCTTGTCACATAGTAATCACTCAGTGCATACTTGTTGACTTAATGAATGATCAAATTCATTGAGTGTTCTATTTCTTGACCATGTTATATTTCTTAAATATCTATGGAGAACCTTAGTAGTCATTAATTCACTCAACAAATGTTTGTCAACTACCTACCATGTTCCAAGTGTGGGAATATAGCAGTGAACAAAAAAGACAAAAAACCTTGCCCTTGTGAAACCATACTCTAGTGTCATGTACTTAACCCCAAGCTGCAGTAGATGAAGAGACAGCGATCAGTTAGGCACAAAGTGACCAGAGAAGGCTGCACGAAGGAGATGAAGCTTAAGCTAGCCTCGGAGGATGGTGCACTGAAGATCTCAAGGGAAAACGCCAGGCACTGAGGTGGAAGGGAATGGAATGTGGTGTAACATGAAAAGAGGTGAGCAGAGGGATTCAAAGTGGGAACCAACAAAGGCCCTGGAAGGCAATTTTTAAGTTCATATTTCTGGAGTAAAAAACACTGACTCAAAGTTTTGGAGCAAAGAAGCAACATGGCAAAAGATCTGTTCAGGGCAGATAGGTCTGGTTGTTTAGTGTGAAAAGTCTGAAACCTGGGGATTGAATAAGGCTGCTGCAAAAAGCCAGACACCTGGGAGACTTCTAGACTCTCCACTCCGCCCCACCCCCCACATACACACCTGCGTCCGGGGAGTAGCCAAGTTCCTTCAATCCTGTCTCTTTAGTAGCTTCTGGAGTCACAATGCTGGTGGATGGTTTCCCTAAAAGGCAAACCCAATCATGTCACTGCTGTTTCGCATCCATCAACTGCCTCCATACCTCTTACAATAAAATCCAAGCTCTAAAACATGGTCCACAAGGCTCCGCATGACCTAGCTTTGTGCACCTGTTCCCATGCCCTCAGAGCTCTGTGTTACAAACTCTGAATGATGTTTCACATTTCCATAATTGGGCATCCTGCCACTCTTTGTACTCAAAACATGTTTCCCCGAGGATCTGGAAACTTGTTCTTCCTCCAAGTTCCAGCTGCTGCATTAGTTTCTTAGAGGAGCCTTCTGTAGACACTCATTCCCAATGAACACCTTCATACACATCACATTGTGTTTGCAGTTATAAGTTTGTCTTCTCTGCTAAAGAGGGAGCTTTTTGACAGCACAATCGGGGCCAAACCATGGACACAGCTTACGTCCATTAGATGCAAGCTCCACGAAGAGTCCACCCATATCTCTTTTGTTCACCATTATCCAAGGATGAATGCATATAGACAATTAATCAATCTTTGTTGGATTCATGGAAGATAGAAAGTACTTAATAAACATTGAATGGATGAATTGCAAGTGTTATGTCATGGGAGGGGAATTGGACTAAATTTTCCAAACACCTAGGGATTGATACTTTTTTACGTATTGCCTGTTGATTAAAAATTGTAAAGCTAGCCATCTGTAGAAACTTAGTTTATATGATAAGATGTCCCCTTGGTGACATGCCTTATGTTGTGTGGCTCACAATCAGGCATTTAGGTGGTGCATCTGTGTTGTTGAAGATGGCGATGATAAACTTATTATTAAATAGCAAGTATCTTCAGTTTGTGATTAAAGAAATGGAAATGTCAAGGGGCTTAATGACTAACTCAAACTCACCCCACAAAAATGCACAATCTCCCTCTCCCAAGAGGCATTTTCCTTTTCAGTCCACACTTTATTTATTCACAGTCCGCCAATATCATTGCAAATGAGCTCAAGCCATTTAACTTCAAAGCCAGCCAGAGCCTATGATCTTGAGATTTAAAACCATAAAGGAGTACAAAGTGAACAACCATTTTTATGTACTTTCTGGACGACCACAGATCTCTTTTCAGACCAAATGTCATTACATGGAGGGCACTCCTGCAACTTCAGAAGGGAGATACTAGAATTGCCCAACAAAGGACTCCGGTTGGCATACTGAAAAACCCCAGCACAAGGCCCAGCTCACAGCAGGTCCTCACTTGAATGAACGAGTGCTCATTCCTAATTTCTCTTATAAGTATCAAAGATGGCAACCATAAAAAAATTAGGAAAAAAGCAACTCTACTATATCTGTAATCTTTACTCTTGAAGATTGTTTTCACTTTGTACCTTGTTCTTGTTTGAAAAGAGTCCAAGCATTTCCTTCCTGTTTCTGACATTTTTATAGCTGTAAATAAATAAATTATCTTAACTCTTTCTTTTCCTTCAGTAACTTCCCTTTTGCTTCCAAACAAAGACCAAATTCTTGAGCCAGGCCTCAACGCTTTACAGTGGGCATCCTCTTCCCCCACTGTTCCTCTGAAAGCACCTTGCATTGCAGCCCAAGGGAACTCTGCTATTTCCATACATGTTCTAGAATTTCCCACCTGTGCCTTTGCTCACACAGATGCTCCAACTGGAATGCCCTTTCATGCTGGCTGCGGGAGAGGGTAGCAGGATTCAGAGCTTCAGCTATGGGTCAAGACAGGCTCCACCACCTACTGTTGTAGGACTTTGAGTGAGTTACTTGTGCTGGTGGTCCGCCTGTTTGGTCTTAGACACACCCTTTTCCCTTCCCCTGCTCCCCTCTGAGCCCTACAGGCTGTGTTTCCCGGACCCCAGGGTCAGCCAAACGGAGGTACCAGTGGACCACCAGTGGACAGAGAAAGGAAGAAGCTGGAGTGTTTCTTGTCTCGAGTAGTAGCAGCATCTCCTCCTTGGCTCCAGCTACCGCCAGACAGGCCTGCTGTGATTTCCACTTCCTGGGGGTAAAGAGAGGGAAGGAGTCCCAAGGATCTCACTTGAGCCCTGCATTCAGCTATGCCTGAAGCAGTAGGATGTAACCTGCAATTCTCATTTATGTGAGCCAATGCATTCTCTTTTAAAACTTAAGCCATTTTGACTTGGGGTTTTTATTTTTCACCATAAGGAGCAAATAGTATTTCTTAATTTAATCCCTAAGTAAGAATAACTTCTCACTTATCAAGTACATGAGAGAAAAACTATTCTTAAATCACTAGGATGCAGGGTAGAAAATACTACTTGGTGTAGGAAAGATGTGACTTCAGAAGTGGGAGAGTGACTGCCATCATGACCTGTGGGGGGTGGGGAGGGGGGATGGAGCCAAGGCATTCAGGTTGAAATGGGAAGCCAAGGAAGGGTTTTGAACAGTGGTATGTCATGATTTAAGCTGAGCTGTAGGCAGATTACTATGGGCACAGTGTGGCCTGTAGAACCACTGCATTGCACAACTCCAGGGGGTGCCATTCACCTAGAATGGTGTTCCCTGGAGTTGTACCATGTGCAGCCTTGAGCCATGGAGAGAAGCTGAAAATATAGCCAAAGAATTTCTGTCCTCCGGGAGAGAGGTGCAGGAACTTGGGCAGTAATAGAAGGCAGAGGATGGATTTTAGACACACTCTAAAATAATTGGAAAGTTTCAATGTGGGGAAAGGAAGAGGTGTCAACAGAAAGATGGGAGTTGGGAGGAAGAGTAGATTTGGTGGAGACAGAAAGTTCCTTTTCAGACAAGAGATTTTAAGGCAGTAATGGGAGGAGGCTGGTGGCTGCTGACAATGGAACTGGGCCTCGGGGAAATAGGGCTGGGAATACAGATCTGGAAATCATTCACACGGAGATGGTACTGGAAAGCACAGTTTGGAAGAAATTGCCAAGAGAGAACATATGTGTTAGGAGAGGGCCAAGGAATGTTCCTTACGGAGCAGCTACATAAAAAGGGCAAAGAGGGAACATGAGTCAGAAAACTGGACTGATGAGGGAGGAATCAGAGAATCGTGAGAAAACTCAGAATCATGTCAGGAGAACCAAGGACGAGTTTCAGAAGGGAGGGGCTGGCCATTCCCACACCCCCTTTTCCCTCTACAGTAATTGCTGAAGTGTTTGTCAAGGGGCACGTGGGTGGCTCAGTCGGTGAAGCGTCCAACTCTTGATTTGGGCTTAGATCATGATCGCAGGGTTGTAAGATTGAGCCCCATGTCCGGCTACTTGCTGGGCTTGGAGCCTGCTTGAGATTCTTCCTTTCCCTCTCCCTCTGCCCCTCCTCCCTTCTCTTCCTCTCTCCCTCTCTAAAAAATAAAATAAAATAAAATTGAAGGGTTTGTCAAGATGAGGCTTCCATCAGCCTGGGTCTCTGAGCAACTACGGTGAACAGAGCCCCAGATGACCTGGATGGACATCTAGCTTGAGTGAGAAGTAACCTTTGTTGCTAAAAGCCAAGAAGAGTGTTTTATTGTTTCGTCAGCAAAGCCCAGCTCATCCTGACCAACACATGGTTGCCACCTGGGGATGAGGGAATGGGTAGAAAAAGCATAATCAGAGATCATAGCATGTTTGCAAGATTAGGGGGGAAACTGGCAAAAGAAACTGAATATGTAAGAAAGGGTAGAGTTGGTTGGTCTTGGCTCTGGGGGAGGGTCAAGGGCTGTGTTATTCCTGTGCACACCAGCATACCACAGTGCAGGTTTCCTGGTTATGTGGCCAACACACCAGGTCTTCCCAGGATGCCACTGGGTCCTGTGGAGCTATAGGCCAGTGGGGAAGATGCAGCAAAAGTTCAGAAGGTGTTGTTCTGTGATATACAGCAAGAGCAGGTTTCCTCTCTCATCTGCTAGGGCAAGGCACTGAGATGTCCAAACCCAGGAAGCATCTCAGAACTGCACTCCCCGGACATGAGACAGGCAGCTGGAGGGTGATCAACCTTCTCCATGCAGCCGCATGGAGAGCTCATCTCCGTTCTGTGGAGCACTTAAGACTGAGGTGGAGCTTAGTGGAGGGGGTAGGAAGAATCAAGCACAGGAAATACTCTATAGTATTTCCTATAAATACTATAGAAGAGAAGCAGCCTTGTGTTAAAGAAGTGTGTTTCTTGATTTTAAGTAATGGCTTACCCAGAAAAAGCTCAGGTCCCTTTCTGTTTCCAATCCCTTGTTTAGACTTGATTCTTACTGCTCTATTTTCTGAGTAACAATTGATGGTGAATGACCCTTGTTCTTGAGGCTCAGGTACATCCCATCAAGGTATTTTATCCCATGGGTAAAATAAATCACAAGGAAAGAATTGGGTGAACTATAGTAAAAAAAAAAAATTAAAATTAAAAAAAATCACACTTTTTTTTAAGCCACTTGAACGAAGATTGTCATCTCCTGAAAAGCAGTGGCCAGTCTTGTCACTGTGTCCCCAGCATATAGCTTAGTGTTTGGCACAGAGTCAGCACTCAGAAAAACTGTTTGCTCACTGAACAAATGAACGAATGAGTGTTTTGCTGCATTGTGGTTGCGTAGATTGCTTTAGAAAAAAAATCACAATTACAGGTAATACAAGGAATCTGCTGGGCTGGACCCATGCATCTGGGACCATTGAACTATAATTCATAGACCCGAGCGACAACTACCTCTGCCATTTTGACTTCACTCTGCTGCTCAGAGCTTGGCTTTAATTGTGCAGATAACGGGCTCAACCAACAACAAACTCCCTGGCCTGAGTTTCCCCATCCGTTCAGTGTGAGGACTGAAGTAGTTAGCAGCAGGACCCTTGTTAATCTCTGTTACACTGACTGTTCTCTCACATCCCTGAAAATATGCATTTTTAAACAAAAGCCTGTCTAGTAAGTTGGGAAGTTTCTAACATTTTTCTTCTGTGAAACTGTAGCAATCTGTTGTTAATGTAAAGAGAGAAATCCAGAACTTCAAGGCCCCTTATTACTGCCCTCTTCCCCTCTCCTCTCCCAAAATGAGCAGGTCATGTCTGCAGACTTC